CTAATAGGGGAAAGAGGTAAATCAAAGCGAGCAATCAGCCGAAATTTTCCAATTCTCAGTTCTATCATCCTCAAATGCTATGTGCCTGTTCATTTCCTTCGAGAACCGCTTTCTACTGGAGAGAATCCCGTATATTATGCCATGAGATAAACGAAATCACAAAAACAAGAAGCGGTGAATCCGAATATTCCGTTTTGTGGTATGAAATATTTATTTCCTTCATAACTCAAGGAACCAGTATTTGATTAAAGCGACGTGTATGCTCGTGACGGAAAGGAATGTTTTCCATACCGGTACGTGAGAGGAAGCCAATTGCAAATTACATGGGGCAACGAAAAGCTATCATTAATTGCAGGAACGAGTGTATCATTTGTCTCACAAATACTGATATTTTTATTATCATATGTGTTTGACTTGCTTGCTGCATCGGTGTTTATAAATGACTACAAGGATCTTGGTATTTTTGGTTTGCTCAGGAAAACTATATTTGCTTCCAACGTGTCCGCGTATGGTATTTATTTGTTTGATAAAGTTAATCTTATCAATCAAAAATCATGGCTAAGCTTCAGATGCCTCACTTGACGGACACCGGATGTCGCATACTTCCGTGTTGAATTACCGTATTCATTGTCTTACGAACAATATAAAAGGGCAGTTCGTAAGACTGAGGTCAATTGCCAAAAGATTCAGCACACCGTAAACATCAGACCCAAAATGGACCAAGATCAAGCAGCAGTTATGCAGTATCTTCATGTTCCTATTACGTTATCTTCGAATGAAGACGACTCCCACTTCAGACGAGTCCATTATTCCTTCCATGAGATTTGCCTTGAATACTGCATCGTTATAATTGCCATCGGATGCTTTTTTGCGATTTCGACTTCTTCCAAGTTCCTTCTGCGTGGAGGCCACAGTGAATGGTCATGAATGCATTTAAAATTTACTTGATGCATAACCAGTCAAACGGTTTTTCCTCGACTGATCCGATATAGAAATTGAAGAAAGTTGCGACCTTTGGTTGGTACCAACGGAGAAAGAAGTCATCGAAGCAGAGGTTGCTTCACAAACAAAGGAACATTGTATCATAGAGACATTGTTTGCCCTTTGGTGCTACCTGGCCCTTTCTCGAGGGATGAAACCATACAATAAAGACAAATACAGTATTCCGACATGATAGTCTCCTGTGATGCCAATGGAAGAATTTAAAGGACAAAGTTAACAGTGCTTTATAAACAGATGCGTGTCCAGTGCTCGAACTCATTGTGGAGTTTTATGAGTCGTAACCTACAAGCTTTCCATTCTCTATTTTCAATTGCTATTTAAAAAGTACATTTGTAATATTATTTATTTGGAACCCTTGCCAAAGTTTCATGCATATGGGATCGGATTTGTTCCAGGGTCTCTCTGAAGTTAAGCGTTACCGGAAACATTCCAAACATCTCTTAAAACACGGAAACAGTATAAGGGAATGAGATTTATCGCAAACGACACATGTAAGACATATCCGTATATGCTGACCCATACCTACCTAGCTGTATTACTCACTGAAGAATTGCAATGATATTTTTATTCAGTCGAAAGGCTTCCCTAACTCATTTGTCATTATATAAAGATTGTTATCATAGCTTCTGAATTATGAATTGATTTTGATAACAAATTTTTACAATAAAGACAAAAAATACACAATTGCTGTCGTCAGTTTCTATTTTCTTTAAGCAGTATTTGAAAGTTTTGGGTTGGCGAGGAAATTTTGGAAATCAAATCAACAAGAAGACACAATTAAATTACTAATTAAGTCAGAGCTCTTTTAAATTGGCGAGGATGTACAAATTCAATATCACCAGTAAAAATGTACTGCAATGAACGAGGTGATCTTGATCGATAAAACGACTGCTCTGCACCGAGCTCACCTCGGACGTTACAGACTTTGTAGTGTCTTTCTTTGCAGTAGGATAAATATCTACGAGCCTGAAAAAGGTCCAAAACAATATGGGAACGATTTACAGAGGTTGACCGAAGCCTAACCGGCCATTTCTTCCCTATGTGTGTCAATTCTCTTTGTCCTAAACCCAGCATGATATTTTCCGAAAGCAAGGGTACAAACGATGTTGTCGAAGGAAGAAAGTTCCTCCACTGCTGCAGCAGTCAAAAACAAGATGCTTCTAGTCCTGATTCTAATATCACCCAACAAAAGCTTTTTCTTAAATATCCTTCATAGATGAGTATTTTATGTAGATGTCAAAATGCTGCGACGTTTCCAAAGCGATTAATCTTTCAGTATACGAAATAATTATATATGTCCATCATATGATTCAACTATTGCCACCCTTTCTACTATTCATCATAAGTTTCACAATTAATTTTTGTGGGAAATGTTTTGATCCTTTAGATACCCTACGCTGATGAAGATTCAATACACAGATATCAGCTACCGCTAAACATATCAAAATGAAAAATCGGCCCTGCGCGTGCTACGAACATGATGTTATATGACGTAATTTCTCTTTTAAAAGTGCGGGTTAAATATAGTCACGGGAAGTGTTTCCAACTTAACCCAAAGGTTCAAACAAAATAACATGACCTACAAAACAGACATCAACGGTTTTCTTATTACCCGATTCAAGGGACGTATTCATATTTTGCATGTAGCCTCCTTGTACGAATCTGTGGGAAAAGATTTTGTCATTCATCTTCTTTTTCTTTTCCTCTTCTCTCAAGAGTTTTTTTAATACTTAACCCGGCCGTGGGTCTATATTAGAACATTCAGAGGCAATAACGCTTCCATCTTTTCCGAGAACGCGAGTTCTAGAAAATGATATGCTCATAATGCTGAAGCTTTTGACCTCAAAACCTTTCAGTCAACGTTACGACTTCCGTAACAAAAGGATGAAAGATAACAATTTAATACTTTAGTTATTTTGGATTGATTTTAGGTCCGATGAACTTGAACTTGTATTGTTACCGGAATGAGTTCCGTGAGACTAATTTTTTTTATACTAGAAGATAATCAACACTAAATGAAATTTGCAGGGATCAGATGTCTCCATAACTTTCCCTCTTTTTATTCATAATGACCAACTAAGGAGTACAGTATAGGAATTTCTTTGAACTTTCCTTGTTACTTTTCCTTCTTCTGTCTTGTTTGTTTAATTATATGTTTTGTTCTGTTCTTTTTTAAGAAGATTTTTTACAATACATATTTCGGGGTAAAAAAATCCATAATGATGTTCTACCTTGTTAGTGACTCAGTTCCATGCTATCTAGACATCGCTTACAACTAAACGTAGGGAATCTAAAAGCCGGCTCTACACGTGTTATGATATTGAAATTACATAATGTCTTTTTATTGTCGACGACCAAAATAGTCGCAGGAAGTTGTTCTGACCCAGAGCAAATGAAACCTCAAGCGAATGAAACGTGACTAAGCTGTACATCCGGTTTTTACTGGGCAGCTTTGAGCTTGACCCACATTTCATTTATTAATTTTTTCTATCGGGATTACGGAATATATGTAATTTATTGAATAAAATAAGCCCCATTATTTTGTCTGGCTACGTTAATGTAAACGCTGGACAGAAGACGTGATAGTAAATTCACTTGCACTTGCGGAAATGGCATTGCTTCCATAGTTTCAAAGAATCGGAATTCTCGGAAATTATTCCTCATGGTATGCCTAGCCTATTGACCCCAGCATCAGGCACTTCCGTAGTCGGCAGATGTGCTCGTATGAAACTCTTTAGGTACTGTATACGTAATTGTTTTGGTGACTCCAATGAAAGAGTAATAGATGGAGAACTAAATGTTATTTGTCCATCGCGTGAGCCAGATAAAAAGATATTTATAGAGTTTTCAAAGACATGTAGTTCATTTTTCTCTTTTGGTGGACTGAAGACAGAGCGATAGGGAATTTCGGAAAGCATCAAATCATCTACTTTACCTCATTCGGAGGCCTACAGTCATGTCAGTGGTTTTGATATTTTTACTCCAAAGTAGTACCAAACGTTTGTTGCAACTGGAGCCTTTTTATTAAGCGAATCATTAAGGCCGGATACCACTGGGCACACAAAAAGCTGGGGGTCAGTTTGCGTCTTATATCTCTTAAGAACACTGCGGACAACAGTAAATTAAATTACCCGCCAAATTTCCAAGGCCAACTTTTTAAGTCAGTTACCATTCGTCAGCTTTTCCTTCGCCATGGCTTTTTAATCAAACTTCTCTTTG